GAGGTCTGTAAAACTGAGCTCGTGTGTTCTCTGGGATTCCCTCTGTGCTGGGAACAGCTTCCTGACCAGGTGCTTTGGTGTCCGTGCACCCCTGTGTGGCCACTGCACTTCCCAGAGCAGCCGCCCTCTGGCAAGGGAAACTTGGGGATCTCTCCTTGCTCTTTGCCACCTGCATCTGTGGGATGCTGGTAAAGCCCCGTTTGGTTAACGTCTGCCCCGGTACCTGCCCTGGGGTCACCTGAGGGGATGGGAGTTGGGACTGGCTCCAGCCAGGAGCCTGATCTCCAGAGCTAAGGTTTGCCCAGCTCTGAGGTTTTGGTGAAATTTGAGGATACGGCCCAAATATCAAGTCTGGTGTGTGGGATTGTGTGGCTTAGGGTGGGTTTTTTTTCCTGGTATGTTCAACAGTAGGAAATTCAGGTGCTGTGGGGGGAGGCTGAGTATTTAGATGGAATGGGGAGAACTAATTACCTGACTCTTCTCGTCTAGTGGCCATCCAGTGCCTGGAGACAGCATTTGGGGTCTCGATGGAAGACCAAGGCCTGGCTGTGTCCCAGACTCTTCCTGAAATATTTGAAGCTGCTGTAGGAAAGGTGAGTGAGCACCCTGAAGTATGTGCTGAGTTTCCATTTAAGCAGCCAAAGCAATGAGCTCTGCTCGATTTCTCTGGCGATGCTGCCCCCTCGGAGGTGCGGGGGAGTGAAATGTCTTGGACTTGACGAGCCGGTGTTTGGGAAGGTGTCGTACGTCTCGGTGGGATTCCTTATCGCAGTGTTCTCCCTTTCCTTGCAAGGACCCTGAACACATCAGAACCAACTCGGAGCCCATCACCCCCTCTGAAGATGACATAGCTGAGGCTGAAAGACTCAAGACTGAAGGTAACCTCCTCCGGAGCCGGTGTATAATGAGGTTTAGATGATAACAGGGAGAGAGGCTTAATTTGTTCAGCTCCTGGGGAGTGCTTGGGATGGGGGAAAGCAAATGGGATCAGCCCTCCCATTTCTGCCTGTTCCTCTGCTTGTGCTCCAGCGGTGTGCGTAGGTTGGCATAATTCAGCTGCCACAGAGCCTCAACAGACAGCTGGGTCAGCGCTTTCTCCTGCATCCTGCGGCTGTGTAGAACGGGGCATCTTTCCTCTTGAGCTTTCCTCCGTGTGTTGCCTTTTCTCTGCCACGCAGGAGAGCGTGATTAGTGCTGAAGTACAGCAGAGAACTTTCTCTGAGCTGAGGCACTGCAGTGCTTTTTGGGATGTGGTGCTGCTTTGGGAAGGCCTTGGGTGTACCTGAGGTGGGAGGGCAGCTGGGGGAGCTTGCAGGAACCTGGAATTATCAAGATGCAGTTCCCCTCCTCACTGCTGAGTGTGCCTGTTTGTTTCTCTCATGTTCAGTTTTAAGTAGAACGTAGGTCCAAGCCTGTTGCTTTTGTTTCTCCCCCGTTTTCACTCGTTAACGAGCCTTTCCACCATCTCTTTAGGAAATGACCAAATGAAGGTGGAAAATTTTGAAGCTGCTGTGGCTTTCTATGGAAAAGCAATTGAATTAAATCCATCCAATGCTGTGTATTTTTGCAACAGGTATGGATTGTCTCTTCCTCCACTCTTGCACACCAGGGTTTTTGTTCTTATTCCAAATATCTAAAACTCTTGAATGGTCAAAATCCCTTTTTTATGATTCTGTAGGCTGCTTGTTCTGTTGCTTGCTCTTTGTGTGGTTTTTTTAAGCACATAATGACACCCTTTCCCCTGCCTCCTGCCAGCTCAGTGCCCTGGCATCTGTAGATAGGATGTGGGTGTGGAAACCGACTCTATCAGGCGTTTGAGGAGAGATCAGGATGCCAAGAGATGCTATCTGCTTTCGTGCAGTGAACTCTGAGTGGAGTAGAGAGCCCAGATTTGAGAGGCTGCATTGATAATAAAACAAAGGAGTGAAATGAGACAATTCAGAGGCTTGTTATTGACAATTACAGATGTGTGCGCAAAGCGGGGCATGCGAGCGAATGTCTCATTTTTCAGTTCTAAGCAGAAGTGTTTTTGAAAATTGGTGGGGAGACAACTGTTAAATTAAAAAAGATGTAAGGGAAGCTGAGAGAGATGGAGCTCACGAGTGTGACCGCTGCGTGCCTCCCCGGAACCCAGGCTCCTCTTGGAAAGCCCACGAGCAGGAGCAGGAGCCTGGATGTATTTGCGGCAGGAGCGGAACGTGGGGCTGGGTGTTTGGATCGCAGCCTGCTCACCTAGCTGGGGCCTGGGTTTGTGTCAGGTTCACGCTTGACTTTGCCTCATACAACAGGAGATGACGGAGAGGGAGCAGGGATGGCCTTGATCAGCGCGTTCAAGCTGGTAAGTGTTTTCTGCACATCTTTCTTCATTCCTCCAGAGCTGCTGCATACAGTAAGCTAGGAAATTATGCCGGAGCGGTGAGAGACTGTGAAAGAGCGATAGGCATCGATCCAAACTACAGCAAAGCTTATGGCAGAATGGGGTAAGTACAAGCAGGTTTTTGTGCTAGAATTTTAATCTCAAAATGCCTCGTGGCAGTGATGCTGTTGGTGGTGTTCTGCC